TTATTTCTATCCCTGTCGCCACAACAAGCCACTGATGTTTCATCAGATTTGCTGCAGTCGTATCCTAGCTGGATTACTTCTGCCCATTGTCCTGCCAATCTCTTCTGCATTTAACAGCAAGTGACCTTTTAAAATATTAAGTGGATCAGACAACTCACTCATTAAAATCTCTCAATGTCTTTATAATGCATGAAAGACAAGAAGAAGAAAGTGTATCAAGTAGGTGTGCTCCTACTGTGTCAAATGGTGTAAGAGTGTTTTTTTCTTTTATTGGGAAAAAAATGCAGAACAAGAGTATTTTTCATCTATAAAACAAGAACTATAATACCTACATCAAGGGTTGTTGTGAGTATTAAATAAGGACCAATATTATTTTTGCATTGGTTTTGTTAGTTTTTGCAGGGGAGAAGGAAAATTCAGTGAACATTTATTAATATGTTAATAGCTACTTACACTCCCTAATTAGTACCACCTACAGAGAACTTTCTAAGTGTTTCAGTGACAAGGTTTTCATTCATATTATTCTAGTCTCAACATTAAACATCTGCGTTGATTAAAGCATAAAACCCTGATCTTTTTTAATTATGGAACAAACTAAGTTCAGTTGAAAACATAGGACATAGCCTAATTTCAAATGTCTTCAGATTATTTTTAAAAGAAGTTTTTAAATGGAAAATGATTAGATGATGAAGTTGGTGCAATGTTACATCAGAAAAATTGAACCATTGTTCCAAAACTATTTTTATTGATTTGAATTCACCTTTGCCTTTAGCTGTACAGGACAGTCTTAATTTCCAAAGTAGACCATTGAGTTCAGCAGCCCATAGTCACAGCAGTCCTCGTGGCCCCTTTTTCTTTCAATGCCCACATTCCCATTTAGAGAACACCAAGTTGAGAATGAATCCATGAAATCTGCTGTGGCTGGTGATCACAAAGCCAGGAGTGAAGGTGAGAAGCTGCCCCTGCAGCAGTGAGGTCTGTCTCTATAGAACTGTAACTAAGTCGACTCTTTATCTGTGTTTCCTTTTCTAGTAGATCCATGTGAGAGTCATAAAATCCCTCCATGATGAGCTCTCTTGTTGACTTCCAGTTTAACTGTGAGCTGATTGGTTGATGGGCCCTTGCAAAGAGAGAAGTGGAGATTAAAATTCCTCTAGAGTATAGCTCTCATTTTTATCTCCAAGAATAAGATTCCAGCTTTGGGGGCTGGGTGCAGTGCTCACAACTGTAATCCCAGCCCTTTGGGAGCCCAAGGTGGGAGGGTCACTAGAGGCCAGGAGTTCAAGACCAGCCTGTGCAACATAGTGAGACTCTGTCTCTACAAAAAAAATAATAAAAAATAAAATGAAATAAAGATTTCAGTTTTTGTTATACCTCCAAGTAGTGAATTCTCCCATTTGTGCATGCATGTACCAGATACACAATGCGCAGGCCTTCGTTTGTACCCCCATAACATTCTGAAATAATAAATAAAAAAAAATTTTTTTGAAAAAATAAAAACAATTTGAAGTTTGTAGGAAAGAAAGTTTGTTTCTCAGTGGCAATTCTATTAAATAATTATTTATCAAGAAGCAACCACGTATGAGGCCCCGTGCTATATTGGCATCAACGCATACATGTATAAACACCCAGAAAGGACTCTAATGCATCCGGTCCAAATTCTCATTTTATAGATAATTAAACTTTAGCCCTAAAGGAGAAAAGTGATTTATACAAAGTAACACATGTAATTACATATAGCAGAGACTGGAACATAGTCTAAAGTATGGTAGATTCCCAGTCCTCATAAATACAATTTTAAGTACATGTATTTTGTTCTCATTGTAAAAGTGATGTTTAAGAAAAGCACTGAGTAAAAACAGTAAATCTACCACATGAAACTACTCCTAGTCTCTCCTGAAACCTACAAAAACTACAATAAAGGGCTTTTTTTTAAAAAAGACAGAAACCAATATGAACAAGGAAAATGGAAAAAGAGACAATAAGAAAATGTGGGCAACTGGAAAAAAGCAGTCAGTGACTTCATAAACTGGAGGGACAGAGTGCACCCGGACATGCAGGTTGTATCCTTCCCCACTCCAGGGGCCACTGCTCACCTGGACTCAAGCTCTGGAGTGGTTCACTGCTCACCATGCACCACAGCAAGCCACCGCCCTGCAGAGAAAACAAGCACAGAGCAGCCCTAGGAAAAAGGAGGGCCGCCCCAATTTGCACCCAAGGATTCCCCAAAGATCAGGGGTTGAAGGCACCAAATGGCTGTGGAGATGAGGATAAATGAAAAGGAGTACGCTCACGCAGAACAAAGATGGCAGATAGATAGATAGAGATATGGCACCAGGTTAGAATGCAGTTTCTTGGGAAGTGTGAGTGGAGATCCAATTTCACTTTTTTCTAGGTTTTTCTAAGTGACTGGTTTTATTGACTCTTTGTTGAATGTCCCTGTTTTTAAATACTAAATATTTGTATCTTTCTAGAGGTACTTCCAAAGTTTTCTTTTAGCCTTTGATCTGTTACATTACAATGAACTTCATGCACTTAGGGACCTAGGAAACTTATTAGAGCTTAGTCGTTAGATTGGCTATTTCCCTGTGAAATACCCCACTTCTCTAAAACTGATTCTTCTGGTCATAACTCTGTTAGTTGTCTTTATTTGTCTCCTTTAAAACATCTTAGGAATTTACTGTCCTTTGTGAAATTTGTGTATTTCCCTTAACTGGGCCACAACATGAAAAAAATTACATCGGTGATTATCATAGCGAAAGTATTTTTTGCACTTATTTTCGTTACATGGCAAGCAAAAGTACTATTATATAACCATCATTATTCTTTAGTACTTAGACGTTTTTGTTGGTCTTTTAATTGCCTTCTGCAGAGTAATAGAATGTACAAGACCTTTTGAGTTTATGCAGCTCAGCTCCCCAGCCTCCCCTGTCTGTACTTCCTAGCTTGACTCTGCATTCCAGTCATATTTAAATACCCTCTGGTGTCCACCTGCCCAAGGCTCCCTATCATCAGATGTGCAGCCATCTGTACATTGTAGGGATGAAGGGAAAAACTTCCCCTTTACCCTCTAAAGGTTCATTGAAAAATCAACTTGCAAAAGGCAGATTAATTGGAGAAAATGCATACAAATTTATTTAATGTGATCACAAAAACCTTCAAAATGAAGACTCAACCCCTCAGTGGGGTGCAGAAGCTTATATACCATCTTGAAGTTACAGAAGGAATGGGACTTGGATCCTGGCAAAACAGATTATGGGCAGAGGGGAGAAAAGGAATTCTGTTGGGGGGCAATCAGTGATTACTAGGGCTTGAAGAATGTCCGGTGGTCTGCAGCAAAGTCTATTAGGCCCACAGAGAGGACAGTGGTTTGTGACAAGTTTGTCCAGGTTTCTTGACAGACTTCAGTCTTCCTTCCCGTGATAAGGGTTCAGTCAGTGAAAACTTCGGGAAGAGACCAGAGGTCATTGTTTTCTTCTTTGGTAGGTCCCAATACTTTGGAAGAAGCAATGTGGGGTGGGGTTTGTCAGAGAGACCTTGAGGTTTTGTTTTCAGTTCAGCATGTTGCCATATTTTGAGGTATCAGTTTCTGAACCCCAACAGCATACTATTGCTTAAAAGATTATTTGTTGTTCTTCATCTGGCTAAAATACAGATTATCCTTTGGGACTCAGTGTAGACACTATACCCAGCATGTGGTTACATAGCCCTCTTACCCGCCGTTGTAATACCTGGTACATCTTCCATCATAGTGCTTATACCCGTTGTGTTGTAAGTGCCTAGTTAATGGTCTGCCTGCCCACTAGACAGAAAGACCCCCTTAAGGATGAGGATGCCTTGCTCTCCCCTATATCCCTAGCTCCTAGCACAATCCTTAGTATAACACGGTGACACACTAAATATGTCTTGAATGAGTAAGTGATATATGTCCATTGCAGAATATTTGGGAGAACTAAAAAAAAAAATTTTTTTTTTAAAAATGAATATAAATCTCCAAACTAGGGATAAATCTTATTAGTATTTTTGGTTTCCTTGCTTCCAGTTAGCTTTCTCCATTGACATCATGGCATATAAAGCTTTGAGTATTTTTGTTTTCACTTAATAATACACTGTCAACATTTTCTCACTATAAATTCTTTGGAAACTTTAGTAGTTATAACAAGATTGTTCTTTAGAAGTAACATATTGTTTATTCAGATATTTTCTATTGTTGGACTTTAAGTTATTTGCAGCGTTTTACTATGATAAATAATGCTTAAATGAATATTTTTGCACCTCTAATTATTTCTCTATCGTACCTCCTGGAAATGAAATTACTGGGTGAAAATTTCACAGTTCTATGTGCAATGTATCAACATACCTACCTCAATGTACCCTTAAGTGTAATATTACCCTTTTTAAAGAGTGAAGTTTACATAGACAAAAAGGAGTATTTCATTTTTACCTTCTTTATCTCTCATTTATATTACACACTCTATGAATTGTATAATGATAACCTTTGCCCATTTTTCTGTTGGACTATTCTTATTGATTTAAAAGCTTTCCATATATTAAGAATACAATAATTTGTGAAATTTTTGCAAATTCCCTAGTTTGATATATGTCTTTTGATTTTATTTTGCATGTTTTTATCATAACATTTTTTTAATTTTGTGAACACTTAACCAGTCTTCTGTGAATTGCTCAATTACTTTTCTATATAGAATTTCTTGCCCTACTTAGATATAATACATATATTTTCCTACTTAGATATGTGCTTAGATGATATATTTTCTTCTACCTTTGTTAGTTTCTTTTGCTTACATTTAACTTTTTGACCCATTTAGAATTTATTTTGGGGTATAGTGTGAGGTGAAACTTTAACTAGAGTTAACTAGTCAATTCTTCTGATACCTTCTCTTGGCCTTGAAGGAAATGTTATTAGAGACAATCGTATTGCGATAACCAGAACCTAAAGTCATAGCCCAGTGTTTACTGTGAACTTTGCTTTCTCCTCCCAGGTGAGCAGGAGCCAGCTGTAAGCAGTGATTCTGACATCTCGTTGATTATGGCAATGGAAGTTGGACTGTCTGATGTAGAACTTTCCACTGACCAAGACTGCGAAGAGGTGAAATCTTGAAATGGCAAATATAGAAAAAGAGATAGTAGGACCCAAGGGGAAGGAAGGAACGAGTACGCTGGGACTTGAACCAGGCACACACACCTGCACAGCACCTTGGCAACTCCAGGGTGCTCCATTCAAGAATGATAACGAAAAGCAATATCCAAAGTCTTGTTAATCAGGATGCAGTTTCTCCATCTCTACGACAGTCCATGGCCTTGGCAACTCGGAGGGTGAAAGCTGATTCCCACGTCCTTGTAGGCATACACTTCAGAAGCTCCTGAAACAGAGACAGAAAAAACACCTTTAGGGTTTCTCAGTTTCATTTCAATCTCTCCCAGGTCTTAATTGTTCTTGTTTTTGGAATGATGTTTGATTTCTTTGGCAATTTCTTTTCGAAGACTATGTGTAATTTACTTTATATCCACTCCTTTGTTCTTCCTTTGGTTCACTCCAGCTTTTGTATAGATTTCTGTTTAGAAGCACCAGTTCCTCCTATGGTCAGTTTGTATTCCACCTCTGAGATGCAGGGTCTTGACCCCTCAGCATGAAGTGTGCGTGACTTTGAGAAGTGCCTCCACACCCTGAAACAGACGAAGGCCAGCTTTCATTAAGAATCTAAATTCTTTTAAGTGGGTCTTAAAAATCCCAGCTGCCAGAGACCCCAACACTAAGCTCTAATCTGCTGAGGCCACTGCTCATTATTTTAAGCGACATCACACTAGCTTCCACTTGACAGGCTCTGTTAAGGGCCCTGGTGACATGAGACGGGAGCTCTAGGGAAGAAGTTGAATTCATCTGGGTCTAACAGTCTTTGGCTGAAATTCTGAACTCAGAAGCACTCTCCAGGGCATCCAATCTTTGGCGGCTGCCAGGCTGGTTTTAAAACCAGAAACTACATAGTCTTCCCATTAAAAACAAAATGCCTGTTGCCTTGGCTTTCCCTGGGCTAAAGTAGATTTTTGTCACTTCCATAGTGGATCTGCAGGAGATGGGGGCTTTAGAGAAGGGTCTGTCATTTTTGAGCACAGTGGCAAACACAGCGGGAGCTGCAGTAGCACCTGGATCTTACCTTAATTTCAACATACTTCTGTTAAACCTCACCAGACCACGTGGAAGGATTTAGGTGAATCCTTAGCAGATTGCTTCCCGGCTCCTGAGTGTGTCCAGATACCAGGTGGGGAATGAGGTGCGGTTTGATAAATCATTTGAACCAAAAAGTGCAGCATGAGAATTTGCTGAAACAAGTTTATCCTGACTGAGATAGACTAAGTAAGAGAGGGAAGGGAAAAGAGGTATCCAATGAATACTCAAGTGCACCGCCATTTTTAAAACTGTGTCTGTTTTTATTCTTTTTTTGTAACTTTTTTTTAGAAAAGTGCTATTTTTTTCTGAAATAGCACTATTTGTGCAGTTTTTTCAGTGGGCCATTTTGCAATACATTGAGAGTATCCAGATGCAGAGATGACTAAGGTAGTGAAAGCTTCTCTGAACAATCAGAGGGGTCACGTCATCATCTCTAAGCAGTTGGCCAAGGCCAGGCTGTTGCTTGGATTAACTACAAAAGAAAGGCTTTTCTCGCTGCATTGTATTTACATATTTGATGAGAGCTTTTCCACTTCATGAGGCTAACACTCATTCAAAAACAGAGTTCAGTGCTGCTGTAAAAGCTTGATGCCTGCTCACACGTGGCATGTGGGCCAAGGGAGAAAGGACACTAGTTGCTCTTTTTTCACCACTTTTAACAATTTCCTATTTGATGGTTTAGAAGTAGACAGCGAGACAAGGAAAATGATTACCACCTTCAGAAAGGTCCGGCACTTCCTGTAACGAGATCCAGTCTCCAGGTGTGGGAAGGCAGGCAGGAAGGAATGAGGAGACCTCTGACCCAGGAGTCAGGAGTCCCAGGTGAGCCACACCCTTGCTAGGTCTCAGCTTCTCCATCTATATGGTGAAGAGTTTAACAACACAATTCCCAAAGCTCCCCTGGCTGTAGGAGCACCGACGAGCATTTTGCTAGGTGGATCTACTTTTTGCAGATAGCTGTCACATGGGCAAGCAGGCTGCAGGCTTGGGGAGGCAGAGTTATTTGACTTGTAACATGTAATAACAGCCTGTGAGATTTGGCACTCCTGTGTTGCTGAGAGTGAAGATCTAAATGATTGAAGTTTTAAGTCCAGGTAGGAGTTGGTTTGTTTTGCCTTGTTTAAAAACTGCTGTTAGTCACAGCGTTTTCGATCGCTGGAGACCTTCAAATCCCACCTCTCAGTGTGGGATTCTTGATCTCAAAGGTATTTATTTTTTCAGTCAGCATAGGTCTGCACCACCTACTCCTCCTTCAGTCAGCTTTGCCCAAAACAGATTTTGGCATTATTGGTATTAACCTAAGTCCGGTGGAATTAGAAGGATAATTCAGCAGCAAAAGAAATATAAATTATATTCCATACCCAGAGAGAAAATGCCCTTTGGATTGTACAGTCCTCTGTTCGATGAGTGTTTTTTATTCCTGCTAATATACCAGGTAAATCAGGATTTGACTCAAATGCAGGCCCTGGTCACAGCTGCCCCACGGGGTGCTGTGTGGATGATAAGGGGTCCCAGAGGCCAACCTGAAGCCTGTGGATCTGACCCCAAGGAGGTCCTGCTGCAAATCCCACAAGCTCATGACATTCTCTACTTACCAAAGGTTTATTTCTAGAGATTTCCCTGTGGCTTTGATAGTTTTGTAAAAAGTTTAATCAGAAAGTTTTCATTTCAGAAGAAAGAGAAACAGCCGTTCCCCATAGTCTTCTTCATCACCTCCCCGCAAAAGAGACTCTGACCTGGAGACCCAGGGGTCCACAGATGAGTGTCAGGGGTGCGTGAACCCTCTAGACGTTGATGCAGATTGTATGTGCATCTGCAGATGTGCATTTTTCTAAAGCGAGAGTCCGGACCAGCACTGTCCAATAGAGATAAAATAATGCAAGTCACATACTTAATTTTCTACTAGCCCCATTTTTAAAAAGTAAAAAGAAACAGGGAACTTAATTTCAATAATGTATTTTAATCCAATATATCCAAAATATTATCATTTCAACGTGTAATCAACATAAAAAGTTATTAAGGACTTTTTTTTTTACATTCACCTTTTCGTACTAGTTCTTTGAAATTGGTGTGGTTTACACTTAACAGCACATTTCGGTTTGGACCAGCCACATTTCAAGGGCTCACAAGCAACATGTCGCCAGTAGTGACCACATTGGACAATGGCAAGCAGAGATAAATGTGGGCCCCTTGTCCACTGAGCCGAGCAAGGTGGGGCGGGGGCTGTCATTAAAAAGGGCAGAGAAGACACTCCCAGAATGGGGCTAGGGCTCAGGTTGTAGGTTGGGGGGCCCAAGGAGCTTGTCGCCACTCCATTTCCCCTTTCCTTCCCTCCCACTCACGATAACGGAGTTCCCTTGCCCCAGCGGCCTCGCCATCCAGGCACCCCAGCCCGCGCCCCCAGTCCCTGGTCCCTTCCTGCTGCTTGCCGGGCACCCCTGGGGCCGCCCACCTCGGAATTTAGCCTGTCGCGCCGCCAGCCATGTGGACGCTGCTCTCCCTGTCACTCAACTTCTTGCTCCCGCCCCCCGCCTTGCTGTAACCGCCGCTTACCTCGGTTTCCACAGCGACGCCACCAGGGGGCGGGGCAAGGGGGCGAGCGGCGCCGAGGCCCCCTTTTGATTGGTGGGTGGCCAAGCCCCTTCTTTTAGCCCCTCCCGTCCCCGCTCCGCCTCGCCCCCCTCGGTGGGTCCCGCAAGCTGATTGGTCAGTCCCGTGGTGCGAGCGGCTAGTCCTCTCTCAGACCAGCCCCTCGGGGCGGGGACTAAGGTGGGCGCCCCGCGCGCTGATTGGTCGGCGGGGCGCGCGCGACAGGGAGGGGCGGGGCGGACGCGGATCCGCGGTTAGTCTGGCGCAGCGGTCGCGAGCGCGTTAGGCGACCTGTCCTGTGTCGCGCGCAGGTAGGCAGCAGCAGTAGCGGTATCCGCCCTGTGAGGAAGCCATGAAGCAGTATGAGGTAAGAAACGAGAAGCGGGGACTGGGCGGACGCCGCAGACCCCATTCTTTTACCTTCTTCGCGGGACCTTGGGACCCCGCTTTCTGGTACTGTGAGAGCCGGACCGCGCAGGCGCAATGAGCGCGCGTTGCGCCCCGGGCCGTTCGTAAATCCTAGTGCGCATGTGCCAGGGAGGTATTTATAAATTTGCAACCCAGGCTGTTTTGGGGGTTCCTTTTCTTGGGGTCTCTGCAGGGCCTGGGAAGCTTGCAGGTTCCTTGCAGCTTTCCCCAGGCGAAGACTTTGTCATGGAAGCAACGAGGGTGTGTGATCCTTGCTCCGGATCCGAGCGAGTCTTGCACAAACCTTGCACCATGCCGCCGCCTCTGGCGTCGGAAGGGGCTTTGCAATCAGCCTTATTTTATACGACCTTTGGACCCCTTCCCTCGGCCCGGGACGTCCCCGAGAAACTTGGGCAGTGAGGCAGATGCAACGCCAAGGCTGGCTTCCACCGGACACCAAAGCTGCTCTTACTTTCTGGTTATCTAAGAGGTCATCTCTGTCAGACCCTGTTGTGTCACCAAGAAGAAATCTTATACCGCCCATATCACTCTTGAAGACTTGAAATCAAGTCTTCTGACTCCTAACTTGGGTCTCTTTTTCCCTTAAGACAAAGGCTTGATGCGCTTATCACCTTAGCCGATAATATGATATTAATATTTATCATTTAATTATTGCCATCTTTTAAGTAACTATTATCTTTTTTTCTTTTCTTTTCATTTTATGTGGAGACAGAGTCTCGCTGTCGCCCCAGCTAGAGTGCAGTGGCCGCATCATAGCTCACTGGTACCTCTAACTCCTGGGTTCAAGCGATCCTCCTGCCTCAGCCTCCTGAGTAGCTGGGACTACAGGCGCGTGCCACCCCAGCTAGCTAATTTTTAATTTTTTTTTGGTAGAGACAGGGGTCTCCCTCTTGCTCAGGCTGGTCTCAGAACTCCTCAGCTCAAGCGATTCTCCCACTGAGTGCTAGGATTACAGGCGAGAGCCACCGAGGCAGGCCTTAAGTAACTGTTATTAAATAATAAACTATTATTAAAATTCAAAATAAGACTAATTTAGCAAGTACTTACTCTTGCATTAGTGAGATTCTGTTACCTTATTCTGTTATTCTCACAGCCCTAGGAGGTAGGAGACTATTATTATTCCCATTTTTGTGGATGAATAAAGTCTCAGAGATGTCAAATGACTTGCTCAAAGGCTCCTAGCTAGTAAATGTAGAACAAAAAGAGGAACTCAGGACTCCAAAGTCTTACTTCCTAGCCACTGTGCCATCCCGGTCTTTAAATGAAAGCTAGCAGGTCAAGAGATTTCGTGTTCCCCTCCTCCCAAATTTTAAAAATTATGATAAAAGTTGCCATCTTAACCATTTTTAAGTGTACAGTTTAGTGGCATAAAGTATATACACACTGTCGTGCAATGATCACCACCGTCCATCTCTGGAATATCATCTTCCCCAAATGAAACCCCATTAAATCCTAACGCCCCAGCCTCTGGCAACCACCATTCTACTTTCTGTCCTTATGAGTGTGGCTACTCTGGGTACCTCATATGAATAGAAGGAAGGATTTTTTTGTTTGTATTCACATGTTGAATACTACTGCCTCTGCCTGCCCCCTTTATTATTATTATTTTTGGAAATCTACCCTGAATGTTTTGAAGACTTTAACCCAGAAGTTCTGTCATTTTTGACATGATACCAAGAATGAGGAGCTAGGATTCTATCATCTCTAATGTGGCATTCCACTTAATCATTGTAGAATAAAATTCTAATATGGTGTTCCTTCTCGAACTCTCTAACCCTGGAGAAAAAGCCATGTTCAATTTGAAAGATGCAGTGTGGGAAGAGCTACATGGCATTTTGCAAAATGCAGTTAGTTTAGTTTTGCTGGTTGGCAGTCAGATAAAGTAGGACCCTGAGGGCGAGTACTTTTGTTCTGGGAAACTGGGTATAATGTGAAGCCTCGTAGAGAACGTGCTCTATCTTACTTAAATCATTTCTTTCCCAGAAGGAAGAGGGAGATTCAAACTTACTGTTTGAAGTGACCTTGGAGGAAAAAAGTAGTTACCTTGCTGTGTACTTTGTTATCATTCTCTGCTAACATTTGCCAAGTATCACTCTGGGGTGCTAGCCACAAGAGTTTCTGGATGGGAGGAGCAGTTGTCTTCCAGCCCATTTGGCGTAGCAAGCAGATTAGTTTTATCGCAAGTGTTTGTTGCAGGCCAATAAAAACAGAAGACATGCTTTCACTCACATTCAACAGTTTGAGAAAAGGTTTCAATTATCTACATCAAAGCATATATTTCTGTTTGGGATTAACTCAATCCTCCTACCCTCAAGCAACCTCTAGTCCACTGAGAGGTTAGCCCCTCTCAAAAGACATTCTTAGCCCCCTGGAGAAACCTTGGAGATTATGAAGCGCAATGTACAAGTGACAGAAGAATTGCGCAATGTACAAGTGACAGAAGAAATGCTCAGAAAAGCCAGGTCTTGCTCACTGTCACATAGCAAGTTAATGTCTGGTCGATGACTGATATCATGGCAGTTAAGATTCCAGCTAGAGGGGATATTTGTTGCTGTTTAGATAATGGTTTCATATCACTGCCAATCTCAACTGATCTGAGAGGAAAAATTATCCCATCTGTGGCCTAATCGAGGTGAAGCATCTAGAACAGGTCACCCCTAGGCCTTGGCTGAAGCTGCCTCCTTGGAATGCCAAAACAGGCCTTGGGATTGTGTTGGGGTCAGAGCTAGGTCGATTTAAGAGAGGAACTCTTTATCCTATTTACACTAGGCTACTGGAGTTTTTTTTTTTTTTTTTTTTTTATTGCTCTTTTTGCCACTACAGATGAGACTCAAAGTAATTAACCCAGTAGCAGCTGGTAAAACAGCTACTGTATCTTGTAAATCAGCCTGTTAATTCCAGGGAAAACCAATCCCTCTTCAGCCTCCAGGAGCCCAGCTCACTGCCCATTTCCTGCAGCCAAGTAGCCAGAGGCGAGGAAGCCTCATCCTCTTGGGGTCCCCACCACTCTCATTTAGGATCTCTGTACCCTCAAAAGGGTAGCTCTTCTGGTGCCTATCTTCCAAATAATCCTGGACCAACATCCTACCTTGTCTTAGGCAAGTTCTACTTCAGCTTCTTTCATAGGAATAAATAGGAAACTTCTGGAAGGAGAGTTCTAGCCAAGAGGCAATTGTTTGGATACACAACTGGATAAGGTAAAAATTCAGGAGAAAGTAGACTTGCATGTAATAGTGTCATAGGTGTGTGGCCCTTGGGTAGGCCTGGGGTTGAACCCTCACACTGCCACTGCCTCAGGGCAGCTTAGTTAACCTCTCTGAGCTTTTCTGCTGCTGCTCCTTGGAGCAAAACCCATCCGATCATGAAAGCAAGGGCTAGAATTGAAGAACGTTACAAAGTTGCTAGAAATACAACATCCAAGGTTATGCACAAAAGGGGAATTGCTACATGGAGCTCTCCTTCAGTCATTTTAACTGTTGTGCAGATTTCCACGACAGGAGGAAATTCTGGTTTGCTTTACCCGGTTCTTTCATAAATCTCCCAACATGAGTGGAAAAAAGCAAGTTGGGAAAGATTTTATCAAATTTTTTTTTTTTTTTTTTTTTTGAGACAGAGTCTCACTCTGTTGCCCTGGCTAGAGTGAGTGCCGTGGCGTCAGCCTAGCTCACAGCAACCTCAAACTCCTGGGCTCAAGCGATCCTCCTGTCTCAGCCTCCCGAGTAGCTGGGACTACAGGCATGCGCCACCATGCCCGGCTAATTTTTTCTATATATTTTTAGTTGTCCGATTAATTTCTTTCTATTTTTAGTAGAGACGGGGTCTCGCTCTTGCTCAGGCTGGTTTCGAACTCCTGAGCTCAAACAATCCGCCTGCCTCGGCCTCCCAGAGTGCTGGGATTACAGGCGTGAGCCACCGTGCCAGGCGATTTTATCAATTTTAAACATGTCAAAGGTGACTTCTACGTATTGTGTAAGGATGCATACATAATAAAAGGTCAGAAACACATGAGGATTATTCTGTAGTTACAGGAACTATTGCTTGGAGTGGGGGAGATAAGGGGGGATGATTAGGTGTGTCTGTTTTGTTTTTTTGTCTTTTAAAAAAGGAATCTGAAGTAAATAGAGTAAAATGTGAATTTATGTTAAACCTGGGAGGCGGGATCCTAGGTGTTTGCTTCTGTTTTCTGTTCCTTTTTTCCTCCTGAATTTTTGTGTCTTTTTGAAATAGAAGGTAAGGGATAACTAGGTTTTTTTTTTTCTGGCCATCGAACCCCTGTTTTGCGTTCTCTTTGACTTTTGTATGTTGCATCTGGCGCCTGTTTGCAGGCAGGCGTTGTGTTCTGAGATCCGGGACTGCTTGAACTCTTCTCTCATCCATCGCCTTCCGCACCCTGCATTGAACAGATCTTCAGAAAATGCTTTGGGATTGATTTTGCACTTGCAGACAGGATGGAACCCTGGCTGTGTGTCCCTCTTCCTGTGCTAGCTTTTTGTTGCTGGCTAAGAATAATAGCTGGGACAGTTCATATTTATTGTGTCCTTCCAAAAACCCTGAGAGGTAGGTGCTTTTTGTATCCCTGCTTTGTAGACAGGGAACCCGAGTCTCAGAGGTGAGAGAACTTGCCCAAGGTCACATTGTGGTGGAGACAGGATATGGACCAGGTCTGTCCGCTTCCCCGGCAGTGGAACAGTTATGGGGTCCTGCGAACGAGCACCCAGTCTGGTGGGAACTAGTATTCTACTTTACACGTGAGACTGAGGCTCAGAGAAGTAAACTAAGCTGCTCAAGGTCAAGGAGCCCAGAAGCAGTGGAGCCGAGCCCTGGCCTGGGTTTGTCCGACTCCAGTTTTGTCCAGGCCTGTGACTTCCCTACAGATGCTGCCCCAAGGCAGTGCGTGGCTGCCCTGCTCTGTTCTGAAGACAGAGCATCCCCACAGGG